TCATGATCCAATGATCGGATCTAAACCAGATTAGTATGGGACCACCTCTGAGACACCACCTTTCCGATGCAAAAAGAGTTTTCGAAAACTGGTTGACGCTGTCCAAAGTTATGCGGTAAAATACATTAAAAAAAAATCCGACGAATTGATAACCTCTTCCTTTTTTTGAAGTCAGTTAAAAACGGTTGTCAAACGAAATACACGATGTACGGCAAGAATGATGGAACACAAGATTGCGCCGATTGCAGCAGAATTCGTGAGTGTAATTTTGGAGTGACGTCATCGTAGAGTTGACAACTGAGAGCGGTGAGTATAAGCCAAGGCGTATTTAACAGCTGATAGCAGCACCCTTTTATTTTCCTTCGCCTCACGGCTTCATATGTCAAATGGCTGCTGTTGATTGGTTGGAGCGGTTGATTGTTTATTGTTTTTTGTTCTCTTTCACATCATTCCTATGAAATTTTTGACAGTCCTCGCCGCAAAAGCAAAAACAAAATACATGTACATTTTGTTGTTGGCGTACCGATACCACCTTATTGAATACGCCTTGGTATAAGCTGTAAAAATCAGTGTTGTCAGTTTAGCCGTTTTCCGGCTAGGTTTAGCCGGTCGCGATAGCAAACAGCCGGAGAAAATTCGATTTGTTAGCCGTTTTGCAAAAAAAAAGTTTGCCGATTTCGCAATTTACCGTATTTTATTAAAATTCAAACATGTACATATGTATGAGTTTCCATTTTTACAATTTTGGCGAAATTGCTGGCCTTATTTCGGAGAAAATTTTTAATGTCGGACTGTGTTAAGTATATAAAATTTAATTGAAAGTAAATTGAATACAATTTTTTCTAATCCGAAAAGTTTTTAAATACTGGGCCGATTCCAATGATTTTTATTTTATGTGACCCAAGTGACTGGGACGCGACGTTTAGTTTATTATTCTTTTATGAAAGTATAGCTGATTACTTACAAATACCATTTTAATCCAAATTCCATATTTTAAGCAAAACTTATGAAAATTCCGCATTATTATTTTTAATTTAAAATTTTAGTATAGGGAGGTTCCATGGGAAACTGAACCTCAGAGCACAAAATTTTTTCTTTATAAAACTTTCAAATGTGTGGATAAGACATGTGTACAAATTTCGAATCAACCAAAAAATAAGAAATTAAAGCTTTAAATGCATTTTTATTGCCTTTTTTACGTTTTAAAATCAAGTTATATAAGTTAATTTTTTTGGTAGGTTTAAAGTAGGTTGTGTTAAAAGTGCTGTCAAGTAATTTGCGATTCTTAATTCAAGTGTTTGATTAGAAAAATATGTAGTAGAACTTATCTGCGTTTAATAAAATTGTATTATATATTAAATTGTGTGAATGCTTTATCTATATTATGGGTTATTATTAAGCAATATTGGTCTTGTCCCACCCGTGACAAAAAAAGGTAAAAGTTGTTATATTTAATTACAGAAGTTGATGTTGTGTTTCAGGTTTTTTTATATAATGTTAGAACTTCATTGTCAATGTTTACCACAATTGCATTTTGGTTTCCACGTAGTTAGATGAGAATAATTCAACAGTCAGCATGTCCCACCCGTCACAGCCACGGGTAGTACAGTTGCCAGAGGTAGGTTTACAGGGCTGATGAGCTTTATCTGTTTTTTTAGGTGGACGCAGCGGAGAAGGGCGGGAGCGCGGACTCGCCCATTACCTATATACCTCAAACCTCGTACAAAAATTATAAATTTCAACAAATTTTAACAGTTACACCCAAAAATGTTAAACTTCTTGTTCATAATTTTAAGAAGAATTCTAGGTATGCAGTTTTATAATGTATTCAATTTAAGTAGAAAAAAGTGCACATTTAAAGACGCTAGGAGACCGCATTTTAATAATTTTTTTGGCTGACGGTGCTAGGCTTTTTCTCCTATATAAAAGGCACTATACTAAGATAAAACGTGAGTGAATTGAACCCCTACTTGGCTTCTTATTTTTTTTTAACAACTAATCTTTAATATGGACCACACTAAAAGCTCCTTTTCATATAAAGATTCGTACGTGTCCCACCCGTGACAGAGGAATTTCGGATTTTCTTTATAATAAAGCGAAAACGGAAACAAGAGGATGGTTTGTAATATGTAGGACCACCGCGAGCAGTAGGCTGTTCGCTGATAATCCGACGTCGTAGTCGTAAATACGTGATGCAGTCGACACGAGTACTGCCGTGTCTCGTCAATGGTGGAGGGCTGCGTTCTAAGCTAGTATAATTGATAGCACAAAGATAGACTTGCTGATGTGCCATGTTGCGAGGCTGTGGTTGTCCCAACCTACTCACTTGCAAGCGCAGATTGGTGGATGCAACCAGATTTAGTTCCAGTACCAGAACAGGGAGTACGTTTTTTTGCCAAGATGCGGCTATGTACTTCCCTACCATGTATTTCTGTTGTGAATGTGAATGTCGGCTGTCAGGGTCACCAGTTTGTAGGTGTTCTTATATTGTATCAACAATATTTATTATAAAGGTATATTAAAGTTGAAATTAGTATGAATTAGTTGAAAAAGTAAATGTCTACAATCTATGATTTAACTCAAATGCTTTTTAAAAGCTGAAATTTCTGCACACCAGTCCGTCCGGGTCAATATTAAAAGCAAAGTCATATTAAGTATGTATATTAGCTTTATTTTACAGTAAAATAAAAAATTAGAATATTTGTAAGCTTTTAGATCGACTTTTTTGTTATATGTTGTTATTGTTGTATGCTGGTCGATGTACTTTTCCATGTGCAAGAAAAACACTTTGACTGACTTCCAAAACGTAAATTGCTTTGCATACGTACAAAGTATAAGGTTCCATAACGTCGAACTACAAAATATACTGTATATGCACGATTGAGAGAATACAAAGGTTGCGCCGATCTCGGACCGCTATTCCTCTCATAATGAATTTGACAGAATCGTTGTTTGCATGACGTCACACTTGTGCAACTTGTTTACGTTTCCCTTGCAACATTTTTTCTTCTTCTTCCATTCTTGCTCACGTTTTGGCATTTCTCTCTCGCAATTGCACCAGTGTGACGTCACTCAAAAGTTGTTCTCCAGAATCCTCTCTGATCGGCGCAATCTTGTATTCTATCATTCTTGCTGTATATGTATACTGCTCCAAAACGCATCCGAAAAGTTATCGAAACGCATCGCTAGAGCAATCAGCGCATCAGAAACTAATGCCATGTTCTGACTGACATCGAAAACATGTTTTCGTTGCTAAAACTGGTTTTCGACCTAAAACTTGTGTTTTCGTCCATGTAAAGTCTGTCAAAGGAAACCCAGTTTTCGCTGAAAACTACTTGAAAACTCACGTTCCACCCATTCCAATCGGTGTCTTCACTAGTTTTTTTCGATTATTTATCGAAGTGGAAGTCATATTTTATCATCTTTAATACGCCATTTCGGATTTATTGTTAATTGGCTGGCCAAAGAAAAATAAAAATGACAGTAAGAGGTTGCTAATGAAAAGAAAATGAGGGAAAAGCATTTTGGTTCGATCTTTGCGTAGCAAAACTGTAATCAGAGGATGTAAGAAATGTCATCGAAAACACTAACAGTCGGTGTGAACAGTCCCAAAACTCGTTTTCAAAGTGTTTTCGTTGTCGGTCAGAACATGGTATAAGTTGATGCTTCGTTTGTTATTGGTTAGCATTGGTGTTGAAGAAATGGAAAATTCAGAAAAACATTTCATTGCTATACTGAATATTTAAAATATGCAATGTATATTGTTGCAATGTGTCGCAACTCTGCATATACAAATAGTTTAAATACCGCAATATTACAGTTTCCAAACATTGTATTGATACGTTTTGGAAGTCAGCCTTTTTCTCCACTTCTTTGTCCAACGTTTCGCTAACTACCTTACCGTTGAAACACAATACCGACGAACAGCGAATTTTCGCACAGTAGTGCAACGACGGCGGCAACTTTCGCCCAAAAATTTCGCTCAGTAAAACACAACTACGGCGACAACGAATTCAGCTGCTTATGACAAGGTACAATTAAAATTTTTACAAACAATAAGATTATTAGTTTTTAACAAAAACTAATACAGTATTTTTCAATTTCGATTTAAAAACTTCAGAATATTTAGCATATGACCGCAATGGATCGCATTTTGCCGCTGCCGCCAGTGACGACAATAGAAATAAGTCTATCGTTGCGAACCAAGGCGAATTTATACAAGGTGGTATTGTAAGATCAGCTGATTTCTTCGCCTTACACGTATTTTGTTTTTGCTTTTATCGATTTGACAGCGCACCCATCAAAGGCAAAAACAACATACATATAAACTTTGGGGCGAATTGAGACTTGACATAACACCAACAATACTGCATGTGGTTGTTGTTGTTGTAACCTAAATTCGCCAGTAACACCACCTTGTATAAATTCGCCTTGGTCGCGAACAGTCGTGGGACGAACGTCGTCGTTTGCTTTGGTAGTGTGCGTTCTCATATACAACAGTGTGTTTTAATTTTTACAGCGAACATTCGCAGCGAAAAATTCGCGGTTCGTCGGCATTGTGTTTCAGCGCTTAGTATCATCAGGGGCGGTGATTGTGTACAAAACAGAAATATATGTTTGTTTACCAATGATTAGTTTTTATATGTCCAAAAAAGCTCACAATTTCTATTTTAAATAACCTTGTTTTTCCTCTGTTTTTTTGTTGATATTTGTGATAAAGAATCGCCCCTGATGATGCTAAGGTAGTTAGCGATACGTTGGGCAAAGAAGTGGAGAAAAAGTGTTTTTCTTGCATATGGAAAAGTAGATCGACCAGCCTACAGCAATTACAACAAAAATTTAGAATATTATTATATTTTTGTATATTGTTAATAACTTTAGTACACAAATCTCTCCTTTTGGCAACATACTTAATAAATTGCAACTAAATTACTTTGTACCATCCTAACTCAGCAAGTGGCCCATTAATTACGAACTATTTATCCACTTTTCAGCTTCAACGGCATGAACAGAACAACGACACCGAAACGAGACAACAACAAATTAAATAAGCAAACCAAAACGCAACAGTAAAGTGGCCACTCAACGCCTCCCCGGAAACACAGCGAAACGACCTGCAAATCCGAGTTTCACCCACGCCCTTATATTAACAAACAGGACAAACGTAAAAAAATAAACATGAAAACTTTATTACTTTATGGCGTTGCTAATGCCGCGTTGGCTGTGGCTACTTTAACACACAGCGCAGTGGCAAGCCTCAGCTTTAGTTCCACCGCAATACAAAATGAAGTCCCAACACACACACAAACAACGATTCCAATGCTTTCAGTCGCCTCAATCCCTCCTAATGAAGCATTGTCACTAAGGGAATTGGCAATACCGACACCAGCAGCTACCGCAGCGACGGCAGTCACAAGCTTCAGTGTCGGAAACAGCAGCAGGATAGTGGATGACGGAGGCGGCGATGGCGGCGGATTCGCTGCTTTCATGGACAATTTCGTGCACACCATGAGCACAACAACCAGTCTTGCCGACTACAGCAACCACAGCGCAGCCGACAATAGCACAGCTATGGACGTGAATGGAATGGCGGCCACCGAAATTCCATTTGTGCCGTACGTAATGCGGCCGGAAACGTACATTGTACCGGTATTATTTGCGCTCATCTTCATAGTGGGCGTACTGGGCAACGGTACGCTGATTGTGGTCTTCCTGGGCGTGCGGCAGATGCGAAATGTGCCGAATACGTAAGTATTTCAAGGGAGATGCGTACAAGGAGTGGGGAACTTTATAAAGTCAAAAGAAGGGTAAGCGGTGTGAAAGCATTTCATTTATAGTATTTTATGAAGGGAAAAATAACAAATCTTGTGGCTGAAAATGTTTAAACTGCAAGCCTATAGAATTATACGCCAAAGCATGTCGCACAGTCACCAGCACGACGCACAGTGCGGCTTAAGTGGGCAAAAATCGAAAAATTCGTTGTCTACAGTGTTAACGTTTTTGTTATTTTTGTAAAGGTAATTTATTCACTAAATATAAACAGAAAGTTCCCTGTGAAATAAATAATATTCCGCCAGGAAGCCACTAAAGTCAACAAATTTTATACAGAATTTTAATCCGAGCATAGTCATGCGAAAGCTCTTCACGGAATTAAATGTCAAAAATACATTTTTTGAAGTAAAATGTTGGTTTGACGTTTTTTATATCCATATACATAGCAGAGAATAAAAATTTTGGAATGAAATCAAATACAGGGTGTCCCGACAGTATTCCAGAAAAACAATTTTTTTTGATAAAAATTAAAAAAATGGTAACTTTTAATGGAATGAATAAAATATATATGTTAAAATATTTTATTTTTTATTATTTTGTTTAATAGTACGGGGTTTAAAATTTCGAATGAGAAAATTAAAACTTACATAAAATCATTTTTTCATTTTTTTGTCAGTTCCATCAGATCTGCGCGAAACGTTAGTTTTTTTAAAGAGTTGCCACCTGTTAAAAGAATAAATAAATAATTAGTTAGTAAGTTATAAGTTACTAAAAGTTAGGTATCAATCTTAACTGTATGTAGGAGGGTTGCCACCTGTTTAAAAATATAACTCCATTTGAATTAGGGGAATTAGGTATTAGGAATTAGGTAATTAAAACAGATATATATCACTGTGTGGGAGTCAGGCGAAAGAGGTTTAAGAAGGTTTTAAGAAGATTTTAGCTTGCAAATATAATGAAGTGGGTTGCCACCTGTTTGTAAATTTAATTCAATTAAAATAATATTTGTGTCAAACGAAATGTTTACGACATCGTATTTTTATTTTTTATTTTATTACAATGTACATACACTGCCAATAAATGATTTGTTCTGATTAGCCTGATTCACTGTAGCTCGTTTCTGTAACAATTCTCTACCAAGGCGAATATAATTCTATTTTTGCCCATGTTTTATATGGAAGGTAAGCACTGTGCAACGGAGCGTATAAGTACTCTGCGCTTGGAATGAAAGTGAATTAATTTTTTTTTTTTAACCTGGATTCAATGCAAATATTAGGGCAGGGCGGCGTTCGAGCGTGAATTGAATAATAATAAAGATACTGCAAAAACTCGATAACAGCTCTTAGTGAACTTAGTGTTGTAAAATAAGCACTGCACGTTAGCCTGGGCCCCTTGCAAAAAGTATTCACTCAATAGTTGCGTTCGCGTAGCTGTTAAATGTTCATATTTAACCAAAACTTTCAGGTTTTTGCGGTCGCGTACGCAAAAAACTTGCAAAGTAGGGGAAATTGAGAGAGCAAAGTGACATTTAATTTTGAGGGGAAGCTGCTGTTTCTGCTGGAAAAATTTTTGCCAACAGGAAAACAGCTGGTAGGAATTTACGCAAATCACAAAATTGAATTTGATGGTTTGGAAGTTAAAATGATAAAATGCGACTAATTAAACTTGTAAGAACTAAGTAGTTACTCATTTAATCAATAAACTGTGTCAGGAAAACTTTTTGTGATGAGTTTTCGTACGTTTTAAATTTTACAATTTTGAATGTAAACAAAAATTCCTTCAGCTGTTCGTCTAACTTGCAAGTTTCTGCAAATTTTCTGTTCGCGTACTATTTTGGATGTCCCTGCAAAAATCGTTGGACCATGTAGTCTATTTGTGGTATATTGGAGTACTTACAAAAGTGTGCCTCTGTCATGCTGTAGCGGACCAACTCGTGTCTCTGCGCCAGCTTATTGTTTGTTACCCGATAACTGCTCGTGTTTTAACGAAATCTGATTGAAGTTGAACATTTGAAAGCACATTTGCATGTCTGGCTGTAGCTGAACGTGTAGAGATGCTAGCTGTTAGTTGTGAGCTCCCAGCATGTTCGTGTTTGAATGCCGTCAGAGGCAACATGTATATTTAATTTTCGTCTTGGTTTTTATTAATTTCGAAAAAGCATCTGAGAAGTGAAGAACAAAAGCGTGTACAAACGAAAAAATATAACAACAATGCCATTGTTAATATGTTGGAGTAGTTTTGTCCTACTCTGATGTAATGCAGGGATGGAGTATATGGTCCTGCCCTAGGACATCGTAGTGTTAAGTGGACCATATTCTTTATATGAATTGTGGTTAATTTTGGAGTATTCCTTGGTCCTTAGGGAGTACTCTTTACAAGCATGCATGGAGTAGTCACGATTTTTGCAGGGATATTTCTCTTGTGAGAGAACAGATGACATTTCGCCGGAACTTTGCTGTTGAATGTTTTTCACTTACTGTTTACTGTTTTAAACGAACGCACCTAATGTAAACATATTAGGCTCATTGCTGTTTGTCGGTGGCTGTTTATCGTCGGTTGTTTGTCATTTTCCATCTTCATATCAAAGCACAAAAATATGTTGTGTTGACTATTTTATTCTTTTAATTTACGTATGCACATACATACATACATACATATAATGCAGCTAATTTGGCAAAGCGTGGGCGCGACTTTGTGTTTTCTTGCATTTGTGCCACATAATTGGGAACACATCAATGTGTATTTTAGGCATTATTATGTAAGCTAATACGTGCTATAAATAAAAAAAATAAAAAAAATAAAACACGAATACAGGTTAGAGACGTGTACATAATAATCTCCTGTAAATATTTTGTTTGGGGTTGATCTATTTCCTTTCAGAGGTGTTTAGTAACAAGCATTTAACTTTTTAAGTTTTCTGCACCTTTCATTTACAAACGCACATTTGTTTGTACTTCTTACCCAGTGGGAAAATGTAGGATACATATCATAGTCGGAAAAATAATCAATAAAACATCCGTTTTCATATTAGACAAGTTGGAAAGTCTAAGTTCGGGCGGAGCCGAACATTAAATACCCGGCGCAAGTATTTAATATATGTTTTTTCACCTTTCCGAAACCTTCCGCTAGATGGTAAGCCGGGGTGTATCAATTTTGAGTAAATTGGCATCCTTCAATTCCGAAATATTGAAGTTTCAAGCATTTCTGAAATTTACCGTTATATGAGAAGCGGCCGTTATATTAGTCCGATTTCAATAATTTTCAACGTTTTGCTTATATGTGGCAAGTACAATAACCACACCGAGTTTGGTACAAATTGGTAGAACGGTTACCGATATACTTATATGTGATCATAAGTGGGCGGTGCCACGCCCATTTTCCAAAATTTTACCATAAACGTATTTCTTGGTAAAGAATTGTTGCAAGCATCAATTTTGAATAAATTAGCTTCAATATTTACTGATTTATCGAAGATTTTGTATTTCTCTAAATTACCGTTATATGGGATGTGGGCGTGGTTATTGTCCGATTTTAAAAAGTTTCGGCGGTTTTTTATGCTGTACCAAGGCCAACAACTGTGCCAAGTTTGGAAGAAATTGGTGCAGCGGTTACCAAGATATACACATGTAACCATAAGTGGGCGTGGCTACGCCCATTTTCCAAAAATTTATAATATTCTTATTTTTCGTCTAAAAATTATTGTAAATATCAATTTTGAGTGAATTATCTTCAGTAGTTACTAAAATATCGCAGTTTTCGTATTTCTGGAAATTACCGTTATATGGGAAGTGGGCGTGGTTAAAGTCCGATTTCGCCCATTTTCAATACCAACCTACCTTGGATTAAGGGAAACCTACATACCAAATTTCGTTGAGATATCTCAATTTTTGCTCGAGTTATCGTGTACACGGACAGACGGACAGACGGACAGACGGACAGACGGACGGACAGACAGACATGGCTTAATCGATTTCTTTTTTCATCCTGATCATTTATGTATACATTTGTCTATATCTATCTCGATTCGTTTTGGCTGTTACAAACAACCGTTATGTGAACAAAATTAATATACCCTTGTGCACAAGTGCGCTCGGGTATAAAAATGCATTTTTTCACCACGGCGATGTCCCATGAAAAGTATGGCATTCAATTCTGCATTACCTAGTATCGAGGAATGTATGCATGTGATTTAATACGATTTTTTTACTTATTGGATATATTAGAATACACAGAAAAAAAATGCTTTACGACTTTTCGCACTGGGTACATACCGCCATCATCAATGCAAAATTACGTATTTTACGCTTTTGCGGAAATACGGTAATTTACATACATATATATATTCTATTATCCGGCTATCAAGTCCACCATTATTCTAAAATTAAAAGCCATATCTAATAAAGATACAAGATTTGTTAGCATCTTTAAAACAGATCTTTAAGCATTTCCAATGCAAATTAAAAAGGTTTTTTGCTTCTCCTGTGAAAATTCAAATTAGTCGAAGTCATTGAACTAGGCTTTTCGTGGCGCGATATAGAGTCGGCTTACCTACTTTGGCCAGACTTCTGTGAACAAAAATCAGGACATTTTTAAAGCATCGAATCCAATATACAAGTTAGTTTTTAGAATAAATAACCCAACTTCTAAAAAGTCGATGTCAGGGGGCATCGATCTCCAAAAAGTGTAAATTTGACACTTTAGTCGCACAACGGTAACACTGGCCCTGTCAGAATTGGGAAGGACCTCTCAGAGCCGTTTGATACCAAACGAGGTTTCAGACAAGGTTACTCCCTTTCATGTGATTTATTTAATTTAACGAGAAGGACTTGGCTTCACTTGGCATTTCCAATTGGCGTCAGTTGGCACAGACGGGAAATGACTGGCGTGCTGTTTTGGACTCAGGCAAAATCTGATAAAAGAAGGAATGTGTCCCGAAATTGCCAAAAACAAAAAAAAAAANAGACGGGAAATGACT